AATTGCATTCTTTAAAATAATGTTGATGTTTGTACGCTTAACAATTCAAAAATTTTTCCACTAGTATTAAACAAATAAAAAATAATAAAGAAAATAAATAGATATTAAAAATTATTTTCTACGTGGAGTTATCTTTGGATAAAAAAAAATATATAATTGTGTGGAAAGAGTTTTCGATTTGCTTAAAAAATTTCCCTCAAATCATTAAGATTGAGTCCTTGAACGTGAAGATCCTATCATTAGATCAAAAGTTATTCAGGGTTATCCGTTTATTTTTTGCGCATTCTAATTCCTTTACAGACGTTTCATTCCGTTATCTTAAATATACAGTATACCATACACAATTTATTTAAAGAATCAACATAGCGATTATTAGTCATTAAAAACATTCACTAATGATATTTAATATTTAAAACTCGTTGATAATTTGAAGCAAATAATTTTCAATCAGAATTTTACCTTTTTTAAACTTTGTCCATAGGAGAAAACTAATTTCTTCCAATTTCAAATGTAATTTGTGACAGACGTTACTTGAGATAGGATTAAAAAAAGGTTTTATTCAGGCAGAAATGTGGTTTATTTTCCCACAAATGCCTATACTTCCGGGCATATTTTTGTATCGATCATTTTATGTTATAAACAAAATTCTAGTTAATGGAAATGTTATGATTTCTGCCCGTTGGCTTATTCTATCGTAAATATTTAAGAGCCTATTTTACTCCGTCTCCTAAATAATCCCTCTCATCAATTGTGTTTCCATAGCAACATAGAGCAAGATTGTGTTTAAGCTTTTAATAATACGCGCTGAATATTTAATATCCACATAAATTCGAAACTCTGTTTTGAGAAATGCAGACCACAGGGAATTCAAAACTGACGGAGATCCTGATATGATCAATAAATATATATTTAGTCTTTAGGCAAATATAGTTTTCAAAATTGGCAAATATAAATATATTAATCTAAACGAACAGAGAAACTTATATTGTCTGATAATTTTATTCCTGACTACAAATGTTGGTCTTTAATCTTTTGGCTTTGATTCCGAAAAAAAGAATGTTTGTGATTTTCTTTAACTGGATTTTTTGAGCAACCTATTTTATTTTAACTGCGGCTTATTTAGCTATGAATAAAAAATTCCAAATTCGTTAAAACACTAGTGTAGGGAATACCGATTAAATTTAAAAAGATACAAATGCAGGTGATACCGGGCCCTCTTCCTTAAAAAAATCAATGTTAGGTATACCTAGTAATAATCGATCCTTTTAAAAGAAACATTAGAATGTGAAGAATACCGAGTGGAAGCCCAATACCTTAAAAGCACTAATGTAAAGAATACCGGACAATGGCCCGTTACTTTAAAAACAAAATAAAGAATACCGGATAATGGCCCCTCATACTTTAAAATACATCAATGAAAATAATACCGGACAATGGACCTTTACTTTAAAAAATCAGAGCTAAGAATACCGGGCAATGGTGGATTATTTTTAAAAAACATCAATGTTTGAGGATTAAAAAATACGTTTGAGGATTAAAAAATAATAAAATTATAATACTTGCTTACTGAAATGCGCAGTAGTTTTATTATTTTTAAATGAAACGTATGGTTTATCACTCTTGAAAGATGTAAGGATTTTTATAAAGAATAAAAGCAAAATTATTTTTTCTCCTTCCGTTTACTTAAAGAACGTAGTTTTGAAAAGAATTATTTTACTTTATTGTAAGATATCAGTTTAGATATTCTGATACTTTTTAGTTTTAATTTTTTATAAGTTTAATTGCAAAACCAGAACAATATGGATGTAGAGGAGAGAAGGGTAAGATCGGGTAGTGGGATGAAGGTGAGATCAGTGGTCGGAAAAACAATATTATTTTTGTAGCTTACTACAACTACTTTGTTACAAATGTAGTTAACTACATTTAGTTTTTTCATTTAAATTAAATAATTAAAATGACAATGCAAATTATATAAGCAACCGATCACTTTTTCCCATATTTTTTTTCTTCTATACTTGATGCAAAGATTATATGGAGAGAGTTCTTTAACAATTCACATATTTCAAAGTTGCAATGTATACATTAAATATATTTTGCCACCCCAAATAATAATAAATAAAGTTCTTTAATGACAGAATATATTAATTAAGGTTTTATAGCCGTAAATTTAATTCTGATATGATTTTTTTTAAAATTATGATTTAATCCAAGCCAGAAAATAGGGTTTGCAAAATAGGGGCTATTAAATAAGATTACCTATCAATATTGGTTACCGACTCAGTAGGTTTAAAGAAAAAGTGGCCATCAGATTAGTATTTCTAAGGTTATCTATTTATTTTGTTTATAGTTATGCTTTTAAAACGTTTTACTGTAAGGCTAAATAATTTAAAAAATTTACCGCCGTTGAACAGTCGACCCAATTTTTGGGTTTACGACTACAAATGTTCAATGCCGTAGCCTTGTAATTTTGAACCAATCCAGAAGACAAGGAAACTCCTGGATCGGTACCCCCAGAGGTATTGATTTGTTGTGGGAACATGGAGGACTTTGAGACTCGACAGATTTAACGTNATTGGATAATTATAGGGAAAAATAACATATTCTAAGAAAATAGAGAAGATTCTTTAATATGGACGAACTACATTGAATATTAATTAAAAAGTTGTCTCCTTATTATTTTTCAAAATATACACACTCGCAAGTAATGGCAGATTTTTAGGTTGGTTAGCTTCGTGGAAAAAATTCAAATGTCCGGGTTATATATATATATATAATTAATATTTTTATTTTAATCTTATAATTTTTTTTAAATTATTATTATAGTTATTTTAACATTTAAATCAGTTGGATTTATTTTGGTTTTCTTCGCAATTGCAATTAAACGTGCAATAACAGTTTTTCAAAAACACGTGCTATAAATTCCAGAAACATTTTAACAAATACGGAAACAAATCATAGCTAATCCAAAACTGAGTAAACTATTAAACCCAGAGTAAGTCAATGAATCTTGTTGTTCACTGAGAGTTGAAACACCTGCTATGGCAACCGAAGCGTGAACGCAATAAAATAGAAAAAGAAGTCAACTTAATCAGTAGTCAGACCTGGTTTGTATTGAAAATAAAGACAGATGGGGGGAATTAATAAAGTGAAAAGAAGGACTTTCTTTTTCAATAATGCTTTCCAACAACATTCAACGTGAACAGAATAGCTAATATCGGAGAAACACACGTTAGTGGCTAACGAATTCATTAGCTGGTTAGCGAAAGGATTTAATCGAACATTTTGTATTTTCACTGCCAAGGGCTGTAGCTTCCTTTTGAGAAAAGCGGCCTCTTTTAATTGACCTAACATTGTTAAACGTTTGAATAATACAGTTATCTACTTTATGGTAAAAATAGCGTGTTTGTTAGAAAAAGAAAGGCTTCCTTTGTTAACTTTATCTTTTTTTCAATACTTTATTTTATCTTGAGTTAACGAAAGAGAAACAGTGAAATAGATTTTTTAGTAAACTAGATTACAGGATATATTAAACTACAGGAAAAGGTAATTAAAATAATCTACTCATTATGCAGATTTTCTTTTCCTGGAAATTATTACCATGCGAGTAAAATGTCTCATTGTCGGCATCATTTGTCAAATACTTTACTTTAGTAACAATGCACTCATAAAATTACAACAAATCGTACTGTTTTTTCTACTTTATATTTTTCTTTCGTCAAAGAGCTAAAAAAATTAATTTCTATAGTGATAAGTAATTATAATTTTCATGAATAAATGATTCATGTTCTTGTTTTCAATTATTTATATTGCTCTATTTTACAGTTGGAAATTTTCGAAAGCTTTTAAGAGTTGTAGTTAACTTACAGTAAATTTGAACAACAATGCAAAAGAAATTCGTGCAAAAGAAAATCCTTCTAAAAACTTCATTGATTGCACGGTTACTTCATTTATTAATGGTGACTCTAGTTTGGTCAAAATATCAAAAACGTTTATTTTTACTTTTTTATTCAGACATCTAAATTTCATGCGCTATCTCCATTTTAAACAATTTGCAACCTATTTTCATATTATATATATGAAATAAGGTAAGTTATGATGTATTTATGAAATACATTATATATGATGTATTATATATATATGAAAATAGGCTAATAAAGTGACAGCTGCGAACAAAAATACGAATCAAAATTTTTCTTCTTCTGGAGAATCCAAATCTGTAATTAAGAAAAAGGAGGTTCCTTTTTAAGATTTTGAAGATGACCCCTACACTCAAGGATTGAATTGAGAGTCGAACCTGATATCATCGAATGCATATTTAGAAAAAATTTCACTCGTGTATTTTCAAGTTATGATTTTCTCTAGATGCTGTCTACATTCTTTTCAAACGAATGTTGAATAGAAGAATATGGAGTAGTGTTCCATATCTGTAATGGAAAGAAACTGCTACTAGCTAAGCTAATTCAATTTTATTAAATAAAGAATGAGCGTACAGAAAATATTGTTGGATTTTGAAAGAATTTTGTAAGAATTTGAAGAAATTTTGCAAACAATAGACACATTAATATTATCTTATTTTTATTTGTACTCTAGAGATAAAATTTTTTACCTTAGAAGCAATTTTGAAGAGTATTAATAACTCGTGTAATTAAACTACAATGTTTTTTTGTTTTTTTTTTTTTTGTGTTTTTTTTTCAATTTTGTTGCCATTTTTACACTACAAAATCAAGTTGGAATTGCATATTTTGAATTTAAAAATTAAGGACCAAGCGTACTTTTCGAAAATCGTCGATTTCAATAAAAATAAGCATAAAAATTTAATTTTTAGTCAGAATTTGTTTACCAAATGTCAATGGTATTTCATGATATTACACTTCATTTTTTTTATGAAATTCAATAGGCAAACAAAATTTTTCACACAAAGGTAAAAAAAGTAAATTTGTCTTATGAGATATATTTTTATAAATGTAAAATAAAAGTACAACACAAATAAAGAAGTTATAATCATATAATAAAACTTTATTAACTAGAAAAGTCCAAGCGACAAAGCCTGCACTTGGCGAAACATTTTCATAACAATTTATTGCATGTTACACGTTCACATTATCCGTCAGCATGATTGCGTGCTGAAGGTTTTGATTTTGGAGAAATATAGTTTTATAAAAAGTTTTACAAAAGAGAAATGTCAGATATTCGGATGTCCTTCTCACTGACACTGATTGCAAACACATATATACGGATATAAAGCTCTCTAAAAACATCACAAAGGTTTCTCTTTCTTTTATCCTTCTCACAAAAGAAAGAAAGTCGTCAAAATTAGTACCGGGTGGCAGTGATGTCACTTTGTCAAATAAAAGCGGTTGAAGTGATTTTTGAAGAAATTGAAAGTAGGCATAGATATATTTAAAAAAATATTATTCTAAATGGTTTCGGAATTCTAAAAAAAATCGTTTCCAAGAAATAAATAAAAGTATTTAAAAATCGTTTGCAGTTTATTTACGATAACTTATAATGTTTTTAACTAACTCATAATATTAACTTATTTATCCATTAAAAGTAACAAAATAAATATATTTTAAAGTACTAATTTAATGGGTGTCAAAATTCTAAAAAATTTTTTGAGAGAATTGCAAGTCAAAAACATTTGCAGCAAAATATTTTATAAATGGTAACTTGGAATGCTGCCAGATTTATAAAAAAATATACACTATGTACAGAATAAAAAAGTTTCCACGATTAAAATTTAGAAAAATATTAAAAAAAGTATTTAAGCGATACCATTTTAATAATTATTTAAAAAATTATTTGAGGTACAAAGATTTCTGACCATTTTAGAGTATTTTTAAAAGTATTAAATTTCGATTACTACAATAATATTTTAAAATAATTTCGTATTAAAGAAAGTTCGAAAAATAACTTAGAAGAACTAAGTTAAAATATCTAAAGCTGTTTTAAGTTTCTTAAAATTGTTTCCTACATAGACGTCACAGAGAAAATAATAATGTATTTTTACGAAACAAATTCTAAAACAGGTAGGCACATTTTTTTAGTGTAAAAAAATTTATTTCAGTCCTACAATGACAACAAATTTAAAGAGAAAACAATGATAAAATAATTGTGATATGAAAGTTGAATTTGACCCGTTGATTGTTTTTGCATAATTCCTCGCAATTGCATTTATCTCATTTCAGATTTAAAAATTTGATCGAATGAAAGGGAAAAAAAATTCTATAGAAATACAATTCAAACGCTTGTATTTGACTGAAATGGAAATTCAAAATAAACTAAAAAGCAAGATAAGCGAAGCCGTTATCAAATATCACATAATTGCACACAAATGCAATTTCATTTTAAAATCTTTGTTGAAAGTGGTCATCATCTTTTAAGCTTAAAACAGTGTTAAAATAATGCTTACTTTTGTGAAAATTAGGTTAAATTGTTACAAATCAAAGAAAAGCATTTTTAATTACTTTTTTAAATCATGATATTTTTTCAATTAAGAATATAACGCTTATAAATGTTCCTTTTAAAACACTTGAAAATTATTAAATATTTTTAAACAATTAAATCAAATATGTATTAAAGTGATTTTCGAATGAACAAGTAGATCGAGGTGAATATGAATACTTTTATTTCAATGAATATCATGTAAGTTATAAGGGCTTGTATGAATTATTTTAAAAATGTAAATTTTGGTTAAGAAAAATTGTAATTTTAAAATATAATTTTTATTATGGCGACTATAATATTGTTCATTGTTGAATAACGCTTAATTTTAGGGGGGGATGAGGAAAAACGATTTTTCAAGCTTTATATGATTTCATTTTACAATTGAAAATGGTAACAAGATTTTATTTTATCCTAGCAAATGCTAAAGTAAAAAAAAAATATTAGTTCACTCAGAATCAATTTCTTCTGGTTTACCCATTTCTGGAAAAAAAAAACTTAATAAATTAATGTTAAAATGATAATATTTATGTTTAGTGTCCAAGCAAATTTACAACGCAAAATAGTTAGCTTTAATTGATTATTAAATATTGAATGGAAGTAAAATTTCATTATTATTATTTACTCCGAATACTATTTTATCACCTTTTATTTATTTGTAAAACGTTAAGAATATACCTTTGAAGATGCAACTCTTAACTTTGGTGTAATTTTTCAATCAAATTTTTTTGGATTGCTTATCAGAAGTTAGGCAAATTTATATTAAAGGCATATCAGAAATGATGCTAATCTTTGTCTTACTTAAAAAAAATTTTTTTTTTGGCTTTCTTAAACACTAAACTAAAAAGCAATCAAGTTTCTTTTATTTAAATTCAAAGGATCAACTTGTAGAATACTGCAAGCATTATATGAGATCCCTTCAATAAAAATAAAAGTTAGCTGATTGAAAAAATACAAAAATAGCTTATTACGCATTTTATACATTATTATTATTATTGAAAAAAACTAGTTACAACCTTTAGAATATTTTACTTTCTACCATATACGTTTCATTCGATTTTCAATAATCATTGTGATCTCTCTTCTTTTATTTTTAATTATTTGATTGTACAGAAATATAGTTTTTTGCTACATCAGGCTTTCGTTAATAGTTATCAGAATTTTACGAGCGAGCGTTTGTAAATTAATTTTATTAGTTTAAATTACGTTAAAAGTTTTTCTTAAAGCTATTTTAATAATGTTCTATAATATTCTTATGGTTTTTCCAACGATTTGGATATTTTTAACATGCTTCTTATAGATTTTCTTTTAAATAAAAAAAATATTAAATTGCATCACGGTTGAATCTTTTGTTTCACTAATTTTATTAATTTATTTTGTTCCTTTCATTGATGCTAATGGATTTTTTTTTTAAACAGGTTGTGTTTTTTAATAAATAGTTGATACACTATTTATAAATTAAAATTAAAAAATGAGGGTTAAATTTTAAGCTTCAAGATGATGAATACCTTAAACAAAAAGTAAATCGACAAGTATCTTTCATTTTCAAGAACCCAGAAGTGACGTTGCAAGTGTTCCAAAGGGACAGTATTTTTCACTTTTAGTTTTTACAAATGGGATTTCCTAGACAGATGCACTGGCCCATGACCGGTGGGAAATATTTTTTTCTCCAAATGTTCCAGATAGCTGTAATTCCCCTTTTCTCAAGGTTCCAGTCGATTAGAACAGTCCTAACAAAAAAGAGAACAAAACAAAAGAACGTAAGAAACTTTTTTTTAGGCTTAACAAAAGAAAACCATGTGTAAAATAATAATAAATTGCATTCAGTAGAATAAGATATGTTTTTTTTGTGCAAAACAAACATAGAAGTGTTGCATAATTAAATTCAAACAAATGCACACAAATGATTTTTTACCAAAATAAATAAAGAAAATAAACTCTACTATTACGTCACTCATTCACAAAGAAAAATATGTTCTAAAATGCCTTTGTTAAAACTGTTCTACGAAAACTGATAAATATCTTTCTAAATAGACTGGAAATAATCAATATGTCTCACAAATTTATGATGAAATTGCATTTGTCAATGCACTGATCAATGGAAAATAATTTATTTAGATAAGATTACAAATAGAACTTTGTTAATACATATTATTTGTTGATGAATATATATTAATTTATATAAAAGCTAGGAAATAATTCCTTTTTCTCTGAAAGTAAATAGAGAATTTTCAATATTCCATATGTAGAATATAAGATTTTTTAGAATTATACTTATTTTTCTTTTAACGGATAAAACACAATTTTGAAAGAAAATAACAAACACAGCCCTTCAAATTTTAATTCACTTACTGCAACTAAATAAACCAATAAATGTAAAAGTATAATTCTTATTTTTAATATTAAAAATATAATTTATTTAAACATTTGTATTTCAATATTTTGATGAACAAAAGATAAATATAATTTTGAAAGAAAAAAAAAACAGTACACATTCTTATAAAGGTGCATTTTTGTTATTAATTTTAATAAATAATAAAAAACTTATTTCCGTTTGATCATACCATAAAATGTCTTAATATTTTTAATATCTCTTTTAATATTAAAAAGGGCAGTGATTTTAAAATCAAAGTAATTAATAGACGGAATGATTTAGTATAATGTCCTATTAAAAATCGTAGTGAATGATTACAAATATATTTGATTAAAGTTCTTTCAGTGTTTTCATTATCAGTAGTTCCTGAACAATATGTGATGTAAATTCAAAATATAAATCACATGATACAAGATCCGGCTATCTTGGTGGCCAAGGGATTAGGGTTAAACCACTCATTACACGAACGCCAGCGATCCTGAACTACGAATGCCGAAAACACCGCAAGAACTTTAAGGGATTTGTGAAGTATCAGCAACCCTTAACATATAAAAACTAATTGTCTTCTAAGCAACTGCAATCGCCATCTAGTGTGTGTATGTATAACTAGAATGTGGCAAAAGAACAATTTAGTACATTGTTGTGCTTCTAATGAACCTGAGCGGTGAATTGCTGTGTTGAACGTAACTGAGATGTGTGAGCACTGGTTCTTACCATGTGCAGTGAAAAATAAATAGTGTTTATAGAGTTTTCAGTCCATGTGATTACAGATATAAAATATGACTTACCGACATGTGCTACGAAAGAAAAATACAAGGTGTGTGGAACGAAATTAATTGCTGATTGGATAAAATCGGATACTTATAAACAAAAAATTACTATATATATTTTTTTTAAATTGTTGTACAATAATATGTGTATTAGTTTCAAATAAAAAAAAATATTTAAAATCGGGTCATTCAATTGCGCTAAACTGTGTAGTTTCATAATATATAAATAGATGTATATAAATAGATGACCCACACAGAGGTATTAAAATGTTATTGTAAAAGACCTGGTTCTCCGTTGCAGCCACACAGTTTTAGATTGATATCCACTATTTCGCTTAGGAAGTAGATGTGATCGATGCTGACCATCATGCTATTGGTCACGAAATCTTACCGCCACAACCTCCAAGACTCCCTCTACTCTCAACGTGTTGTAGCGGAAATGCTTTCATACGACAAAAACAAAATTCTTGTATTTATATGTAAATGTTAAAATAAAAGTCAGGTGTCTATTTAAGGATAAAATATTATTTTTAAGGCATAATCAAATTTATAACTAATCATATTCTCATTTCATAAATTTTCGAAATACACTTTCGAGCAAACAACACCACAATGAAAATGACTAAATTTTTTATTGAGAAAAAGTACAGTTTTTCGAGTTTAAAATTTCGAAAGCTCTTTTAGTGTTTACGGTTCTAAATTATGAACCGAGGTATTCGATGCTGGGTTTTGTGCTTTTCGATGATTGCGGCTCTAAAATACAATTCCATTTCACTAAGCGAGAAAGAAGGTCATAAAAACGTGATACAATTTCACCTTTCAAGTGCAAAAAAAGAAACTTTTAAAACCATGCTTTAAAAGTCGATCAGAATACTTACCTAAGTAAAAAAGAAAAAGAAAGAGCGTTTAACGGGAACAACAAGAAAACGATTTAAAAGTCTCTTAAGCCTTTCTCCTACAAAGTACTTGCCTTATCTCTCTAAAGATAAGCTATAAACTCTTTGAAAGGAAAAAGAATTTAGATTGAAAAATGAAAAAATAACATCAAAACGGTTTCATCTTTTATTAGATAATAAGTTCTTACAGTTAAAGGAATCAAACAGGCTATATTTGGCAAGTTATTTTAGACTAGCATAATTTTATTTGCCGCATGTTGAAAATAATATTTGAGGATAGAAGGAAAATATAACAGTCCAGAAAAGTGCTAGAAATAACCCTATAGTAAAAAAAAAAAGTATTATCGCGTGTTTTTATTCCACTTATACTGAGATAAGCCTCGATAAAATTTCGCCAAGTTTTGATATCGTATTTTCTTTTAGAACCTTATAGGTCAGTTTTAATTGCTTACTTTAAATTTGAATAAAAAAACTAGATTATTTAATTTACTTAGAGTTTATATTTTATTTATATATTTTTTTTCCTTTTAGAACAAAATTAACGTAAAATCAGATGAGCACATACATTTTGGTCCTCTTTACAAAAATAAAGCATTAAAAAAATAGTATAAATATATAAAAAAAAAGTCATTTTAGAATATCAACAATAAAAATACAAATATTCAGTTTTCAGTTCATTAATTTTTTTGTTTGTGAATCCAACCAAGAGACTGCAAAAATATGTTATCAAGGGATGCTTTTTTTTTAAATAAATTTTCCTTACATTAAAATTAAGCAAAAAAAACATTTTTAGAACATCTAGTAGATATTTATGTAAATATCCATTTTAGTTTATTTATATCAATATATTTTATTTCCAAAACAAATTCAACACAAAAAATCTACAAAATTTCAAAAATTATTTATTTTTCCAGCAATTTCAAAAAGATTGTAACACTACTTTTTGCTAATAATTATACAATTAATTAGTACTGCGCTAGTATAATTAATTAGCACCAGTGTGGTTTTACTTTATTTAAGTTAAAAATTGAATAAAATAATTAAACTAATTTGAAATGCATAAGTAAAACTACAATCAAAGGTTTGGTTTCGAAAAGTGAGAAAAAAAACTTTCGATTGTATTAAATGTCACATTACAATCGCATTGCAAATTATTATTTTAATTTATCAAATTATTATTTTAAGTTATTTTATTGTATCTTTGTAACAATAAAATCACTCTGGTATTATGGTATTAACCAACCATACAAATGATTAGTATTATAATAAAACCAATGCGATTTTATTTTTTCAAAGTGGATTATAGTAATCTGAAATGTGATAGTCTAACTACAATTAAGAGATTTGGTTTAGGAAAATAAATTTTTTTTGTTCAAATCTCATCACATTGTTGTCCTATTAACTATCATAAATATTTTATTCACTTCATTCTTTTTTGAAATCATTTATTTTATTAAAACTTATAATGGTAAATCTGATGATTATTAATCAAACATTTTAAATTGAATTATCTGATAATTATTACATTCTCTGCTTCAACGTTTTAGTTATTCATAAAAAACTTTCCAGAATACATTTCCCAATGCCTAATTGCTTAAAATAATTGGAAAGCAGGATTTAAATAGATCAAAGTTAAATTTTAATAGAGTTGAATTAAACACTCTAATTTCTAAAAGGATAGTAGATAAAGAGATAGCAAAAGAATAGGAGGTTCCAAAAGTATAGAGAAGGGGTAGTCCATCATTCGAAAAAGGACAAGCAACGCCACAAACTGATTAAAAAGGAAATGCCCGTAATATAATTCTAATTTTATATATCAAAATCACTTTCCGAAGGAAAAAGCTTTAGTTGTTTAGTTTATTCCTTAAATTCAATTGAACATATTATGTTACAAGGAATAAATATTGCAGTTTCTATTTAAGATTTCAGTCATTTAATATCTTCAGTCATACCTTTATTGGGTGTCACAAAAATCTTAATCACAAAATGGAAACCATTCCATTTTTTTCAATTAATATCTTCAGTTTCAATTTTATTTAGTGCCCTAAAATGCTCAGTTATAACATAAAATTTAAAAGTTATAACAGAAAAGAACAAACAGAATAAAAAGAACAAACAGTTATAACAGAATAAAATTTAAAAGTTATAACATTAAAGTTATAACAGAAAATTTAAACATAAATTGGAGAAAGAAAAATATCGCAATGTTTGTCCTGCATTCAGAGTTTTCACCAAACATTCCACTTTTATTGACTGCTCTAGAAATTATAAATAGAATTTGGAAAAAATATTTCAATTTCTGTTTAAGATTTTTGTCATTCAAAAGAATGAATATGTTTATTGGGTGCTTGTTTTAAAGTTCTTGAGAGAAAAAATCTTTATATCTTTAGCGAAATTCGTTCCAACTTCTTTTCGCCCTTTTCTGTTTACTTCAGTTCGAGACTATTTCTATTCAGTGTTATTTACCTCTATTATAAGTGTTATTTATCTGTGTTGGATGTCGCTTTTTATGAGTGCTAGTTATCTCTGTTTTGATTCCGAGTAGGACCAGTAGCTCGGAAAACAGTAAAATGTCACTAAATCCGAATTCAAGGTTATTATTAAAATTTTAAACACGAAGAAAAACAACTTACTTAAATTACGTCTAGATAATCAGTTAAGTACCCTCCTCATAGTCAGCCGTAAAAAAA